GGGCTCGCCGCCAGCCGACCGTTGGGACAGGAAGGAAATGAGGGAACGGGCAGGTGTTCTTCCGCTGGGACGGGACGGGACAGGGTATCGGGGCTGAGATCTTCCCGGGAGGAAGGCTCCACCCTGGGGCCTCAGCTACCGGGGAGGGGAGGGCAGCAAAGGCAACACAGAGCAGAAAGTGTTTCACCAACAATAAGCCACAACTTTTATTAATTGATAGAAATAGTACAAATTTTAAATTTAGTCGCATTTTACTCTTCTCTGAAACACCAAAAAAGGCTCCTCCCTCTGGCAGCTACATCGTCAACTCCTGCAGAAAGAAGACAGACACGTCAGGAGCCAGCCTTGCCGGCGGCACGGAGCCCCACAGCCCGGCCTCTGACCCACGGAGGGATCCGGTGCTGCGGCTGCCGGCGGGAGGAATGTCGCCCCGCTCACGGCCCCGAGCTCACGGCCCGCTTGCAGCAGCGGGGAACTATGCGCTGCACATCTCCCCCCCAGGGACGTCCCAACTGCAAAGCCCTCTCCCTCCTCCCCAGGCGCCAGGCCTGGCAGACACTCACCATTATAGCATTTACAATATCGTTACTGTTGTTCTTCAGGGCACGGACTGCCTTCGCTCGGGACACGTTCGCCTGGGACATCACCAGCTCGATGTCTTTCACCTCGACGCCGGTTTCGTCAACCTAAAGGAGACAAAGCCTGGGATTCACGCCAGCCCGATGCACTGTTTGCTCCGTGCCTGGCAGAAGAAAATGGGATTGTCCGGATTGGGGTGGCTCCCGCTCTGGCCACACAGACGAAAGCCAGGAGGCAAGATCAGGCACTGCCCAGCCCTGGGGACAGTCCCCTGGCAGTGCCCGGGACCAGATTCTCCAGGGGAAGGACACTGCGCTCTCCCTTTGCCACCACAGCAAAGACGTGGATGAAGGAAAGAAAACCACGGGTCTTAACGCGAACTCCGGACACTTCGCAGGATGTGCGTTAATGCCACAGGCCTGCAGTGCAGCGGCTGGCTCAGGCCCGCAGGGAAGCACCCAGCCCCGCAGAGATGGGCTGAGGATGGCGTACCTCTTCTTCTTCGCTCTCCTCCTGCACGGTGGGGGTCTGTGTGTTTTCCTGGATGTTTGAAACAGCTTCTCCTTGCACTTTGAACTTTTCGGCAGCTGCCAGCTGGGCCTGCTGGGACAGGTCTTCGATCTGGAGGAGGGAAGAAGCATTAAGTGAGGCTGGCCCAGCGCTGAGCGGGATGTCAGCACGCAGGCTC